TCGCTCAGTAAATGTGTGCTTATTTATTCATTTTTATATTTAATCTTTCTCTCTTACTTCAAATACTAATTTCTCCTGTTTGTTGTTTTGTCCGTTGTATTTTCCGATGGATTATTTGATGAATTAATATTCGGCATTGGGTGAACTCTGTTTCTTAACTAGACAAGATAGACGTCGGATAAATCATTGAAGGAAAAAAAAAGAAAGCACAAAGAAGAAATTTAACAAGATTCTTGTTTTTTTACACATAAATTCAAAAAAAACAAAAACCACGAATAGAGAAAGAGAAAAAAATTTCTTTTTCATATAAATTTAATTTTCTACTTACATTATTGTTTTGTGTTGGTTGTTGTTGTTGACGTGCATGTGTAGCAGATTTTGATTGCATACGTCCAGATGTAATTAATGGACCCCAACCTTGTTGCTGAGAAAAAGCATAACCTGATCGAATTGAACGTTTGCTTTGACGAAGTTTTTGTTGTATATGTGCAACAAATGCTGCTTTCTCTTCGGTACGAAATTTTTGATTTAATCGTGCACGATCTGTTTTATTTGGCATAAATCTCATACGGAAAAATCTATAAAGAAAAATCAATATAATTAAATTATTTTGTAAAGAAAAATAAGTTAGATGATTTACTCTCGACAGAATACAGGTAATAATAATATTGTACATGTAAGAAATAATGTAAACCAAAAATTGCCTGTCGATAAAACTGATTGTGCCACCCCCACATACCCATAATTTGTTTTAAAAATTTGATAGATAATTGTTGAGTATAATACAAAATGAAATAGAAAATGTACAACTATTGTACCCCATAGGACAAAATGATATAAGCCTGTCCAATACCATGTTTCAAGTGCGTTTTCTAAATTCACAACAATAACCATAATTGTAGCAACCATAAATCCAAATGATTGTAAATCCGCTTGAGTCATCCCACCTGGTCTTGTACTGTTCGATACGGATAAATATGGAACAAAAAATATAATACAAGATGTTAATATTCCATGTATAACACTTTCAGCAAAGATTTTCTTATTAAAAAATTCATTATTTTGGCCAGGTGTATATCTTTAATAAATAATAGATGAAGAATAATTTTATTTATAAAAAAAAAAAACAAAAGTAAACTTACAACGGAGGTTTACTCATTGAATGATCAGCGCTAACATCCTATAACAAAAACAAATATGATTGAATTAATTTTAGATACAAAACAAATCTATACTATACCTGATCAAACACGCCTAGTGCTAGTACTGGTAATGACGAGAAGAAAACATTGTATGTTGCTACGAAGAATGGATCATATAAAGTCTAGTAGTGAAAAAATATATATTGAATTAAAAATCTTTCATCTTTGTCTATAGCTTACCTGTGCAGAAAAACCCGAAAAAAATCCAAACCAAAAATGACAGAGTGTAAAAGCAAAATTCTTATAGAAAAAATAACGTAAAAATTTTGAAATTCGTAAATATGACCAACGACCATGAACAAGTAATAATCTTTCAAGATAACGAAATTGTCCAAAACTATAATCACTAGCTAAAACAGCTTGTCGACCTTCTTGTCCACTAATTCCAACACCAATATGTGCTTCTACAAAACAAAAACAAAAAATAAAATAATCATCTTTTTCAATATATATTTACTTTGTATCATTGAAACATCATTTGCACCATCACCAATGGCTAAAGTAATTTTCTTTTCATTTTGCATAACTAATTCAACAACTTGAGCTTTTTGTAATGGTGTTACACGACAACAAATAACAGCTTTACACATTGTACCAAGTTCAAGTAATTTCATTTTTAATTTATCAGATAAAGCAAATGCTAATGCTTGACCAGTTATTAATAAACCAAAACCTTCAAATTGTTCACGATCATGTGTACCAGAATCAGTTGTTGCTGCTGTATGACCATTTGGACGTTGATTATTACCATTACTGTTATTATTATCAGTAGCTTTTCTATGTTGATCAAATTTCATTACATCAATACCCCAATCTTTCCAATCCAATCTCTTCTTTTTATCTTCAATTTTTACACCAAATAATTGTTCGATTTTTTTCATCATTTCATTTCGAATTTCTAATAATTTTTTTTCAACAGCAGTTTCACTATCTTCTTCAATAATGTAAATTTCCATATCATTTGTTATTAAACGACATGATAAACCAATATTATAAGCAGTTTCTAAAAAAAAAGGAAAATAAAATTATATCATTATAATAATAAAACAAATCAACTTACCAACTTTATCACCAGTTAAAACCCATATTTTAATACCAGCACGCGCTAAACGTTCAATACATTGTGGTACTCCATCTTGTAATTTATCTTCAATAGCAGTAGCACCAATTAATTTCAGATTTTTTTCAATTTCTTCATAAGTTTCATTCACTTTTTCTTCACGTTTTTCCATACTTGTACTAAAATTAATTTTATTCAATCAAGTTGCTTTCATTTAACATGTAATTCCGGGTGCTAATTTAGAATGACAATTTCCGACTTTTTTCTCTTTACTTGTCGAACTCTACGTATGTCTAAGGTCATCTGAATATTATATCAAAATATAACCGATAAAAATCTCTTTAGTCAAGTTCGATTGACAAGTTTCATTACTTACTTTGCTTTATTTAATTTTTCTGCCCATTTGTTATAATCACCATCATTTAATTCTTTATAAGCTAAACAAAGTGTACGTAAACCATCCGTTGCAAATTTCTATAAAAACATAATGATAAAATAAAAAAATTCAAATATTTTATTTACGTTTAAATGTTCATCTGTTTCGGCCATAATATCTTTTTCTGATGGATCTAAACGTTCTTTTATTTTGGAATCAGCACCTTTACAGAATAAAATTATTTTTCCGCCTTTTTTAACAATAACCTATTAAATACGAAAATAGAAATGGAATAAATTTTTTTAATATTGATACGAACCGACATTCGTTTGCGATCATTATCAAAATCAAGTATATTCAATAGATCGTATGTTTCTTCTTTATTTTGAAGTCGAACTGTAATAGTGCTTTGAGTACGATTCTAAGAAGAAACAAAATATTTTTTTTCTATCTAATTCATTTTTTTGAATATACTTACAACAAAAACAAAACCAAAAGTACGTGCAGCTGATACAAGTGCATTTTCGTCCGGTGATTGAGCTTGATAGATAATTTTTCCATCTTTTTCTTCTGGCATAACAGTATGACATAATGCCAATAATGTAAAAAAATTATGAACATCTTTATCGCCTTTTTTTATTTCATCCAATAATTTTTGATCATACCAAGTAAAATCATCATCTTTTTCTTCGAATTCAATTTCTTTCATTTTCTAAATTTTAATTAAAGAATTTTTTTATAAAAATCAAAAACTACATTAGAATTTTATGCAAAAAATATTACTTCAGGATCTTGAATTTCATTACCAGCTTCATCCATTACATAACCATAAAGGTTGCCTTGTATTGAACATTTATTGAAGGTCATTATATTCTAAATAGAAATAAATGAAACATGTTAATTAAATTTATATGAATAAATAAAATCTATTTTAGGAAAAGAAAAAAGATTCAATTGAAAATTAATGACTGTCTAGATCAATATAAATAAACCCCCCTACGGCGTTTTTTTCCGCAAATAAAAGTACAGGTTCTGTAACCATAATAGAAGAGCCCGCGTCTTTTATTACGGGGGAGGGACTTATTCATTTTAAAGTCTGGTGTTATCATCGATGAGTATTTGATAATTCTCGCTATAAGTTTTTTCAAAGATGACATTCGATTATTTTATTAGTACATTTTGAATTTTATACACAAAGATAATAAATAGAAGGTTATTTTCCTATGAAAAAATCTTCTTTATATTTGATGATAATAAAACTCTTCGATAGATTATTTTATGTTTGAGTGGTATTTTGCTTTTATGATTTATTAGTAAAAATCATAAATAATAAAGAGATGAAATTAGAAAAAAACAAAATTTAATTTATGTAATTCATTTTTTTTTTAAATAAATAATTTAACATCGAGAATAGAACAGATGTTTTATGATAAAAACATTTTTAGATTATTGAAAGTCATGAATAATATTACGTTAAAAATATAGTTTCCTTGACAATAAAATATGTTTTTAAAGTTCTTTTTCTTTATTTAGTTGCGTTGACATTATATAATCTTCATAAAAATGATTTCTGAATAAATAAGCTAATTCTATATTTGCAGTAAAGAAATAAAACAATATGTTCTAGACTAACATAAGGGTTCGTTTTAATTTATGAAGAAAAAAATAATATTTTCTCAACTTATTTTGTGACCTATTCCTATGTTATCATATCACCTTACATTAAAAATTTATTCCTATCATAGATAAATATATATTTAATAAAAATGATTGATGATTTTGTTTTTCTCTTTTAATTACCTGTGTTAATGTGCCTGTTTTATCCGAAAATATATATTCAATTTGTCCTAATTCTTCATTTAATGTTGTTGTACGAGCTTG